ACTGTCCCTACCTACTATCTAGCGATGATTTCTTCCGGAAAAAATTAGCGTCCCGGCTAGCCAATATCGTTCGGAGCCTCCTGCGGAACTCGTGTCTAAGATTGTTTCTGAGTTCGGGCTTCTGCCGTCACAGTAGAAGCAGCCCCCAACATGTTCTAGACGAACCCACAAGCCGACGTTCTCGCCCTTTCAGCGCGGGCCTTCCTCCTGTCCCCAGGCTGCCGGAACGACCGACCTTCCGGGAGTGGGGAAGAAGCGGGCGTGTTTCGTGTTTAGGGTTTGGGGTTTNNTTGGGGTTCAGGAGTTTAGGGTTTAGGGGTTTAGGGTTTAGGGTTCAGGGCCTCATTTGTGCGGGCTTGGTTTCGGGCTCAGGGCTTTGTAGGGCATGGGTTTAGCTAGTACTTGGGCCTAACTTCGCGATCAAATAGTAGTGATGCTACTACCACTGCTCCTATGGTGCCTTCCTGGCTTCAAAAGCGGCTCCTCGAGTCTGAGCCGCAGGGCTCCGGATTCCTAAACCCCCACCCCCCGCCTATCATTGGGATGCTACATACACTCAGGGCCTCAAGCTAGGGAAGCTTCGTCACGCCCTCCCCAAAGCCCCAAAACTCGAAAGCCTAAGACCCCGAACGCCCCTGCGCCCCCGCCCCCCAGCCCCGTGCCTTACACCACGATCTGTCTGGGTGACATGGAGCGGGCAGGGACCTTTGCGCTGTAGAGCCGGTCGCCCTTCTGGTCGTGGAAGGTGACCTGCAGAGGCGAAGAGGGGCGTAGGAGGGCGCAGGGCTCTTGGGTTTGAGGTTTAGGGTGCAGGGTTTAGGGTTTAGGGTGTAGGGTTTAGGGTTTAGGGTTTAGGGTTTCCGGTTAAGGGTTTTGGGTCTAGGGTTTAGGGGTTTAGGGGTTTAGGGTTTAGGGTTTAGGGTTTAGGGTTTCAAGGTTAAGGGCTTATAACTAGGACTCAAGGTTGGGGACTTCAGGAGTTTGGGGTTTAGGGGTGTGGGGATTGATGTTGGACCTGGCGAGGACACCTGAATGGTTGGACTGGAGTTTTTGCGGGGCTTTGTATTCCATAAAGATGTTGGAAACCCTGAGGAAATCCCGATTCTACGCATTTAGGGTCCTATAGCATGCAATAAGGGAGCCACTATCAGGAGGAACCCTGGCTCGGTTCAGCGAGTTCCTAGGAGTACTTCGGTGTCCCCTTGTGGTGATAGTCCAGGATGCTAGCCTGTCATGGTTAAGGCGGCTACGGGTTTAGAGTTTAAGGTTTAGGGTTCAGGGTTCACCGAAGCTCCATGAATTCCTGGCGCTGATGCTTAGAAGTAGGGGCTCAGGGATGTGATCGCCTCCACTTCGTCATCCTCGAATCGGAAGGAAGCGAAGCCGCCGTGCACAGAATCCTTCCTCGGCAACTTCAACCCTAAGGCATTCGGGTTTCCAGTTTAGGATTTAGGGGTTCTGACACCTTTGAAAACAACTCCTCCTTCGCCCGGACACGGACAGCTTAGGATTCAGGGGCAAAGGATTCCTCAAACACCTAAACACCTAAACACCTAAACACCTAAACCCTAAACCCTAAACCCTAAACCCTAAACCCATAAACCCTATACCCTAAACCTTTTTCCCGCAAACCCCCAGCCCATGGTCTGGCAATTGAAACCCTGCACTGCAGAAGCCTCGAAGTCCTGTCAATCTCTCCGCGGCCCGTATAAACCGAAGACCTAAGGCACGCCCAAAAAACCCTGAACGCCCGGGGCAACCCTGAAAACAGCCCTAAATTCCACCCGCAAACCTTCCCAGACCGCAACCAGCAACAAACCCCAAACCCGAAACCCCTAAACCCTAAACCCTAAACACTAAAAACCCGAAACCCCCAACCCTAAACCCTAAACCCCTAAAGCGTGAAGCCGAATACTCCAACACCTCTTGCTGAAGCAGTATATGCTTTACTTGCAAATCTGTTCCTCTAAACCCTAAACCCTAAACCCTCAACCCTAAACCCTAAACCCTAAACCCTAAACCCTAAACCCTAAACCCCATACCCTAAACCCTAAATCCTAAAACCGTTGAGGGACCTTAGAGGCCTACGGCTTCGGATTCCCCGTCCAGGGTCCGGGTTCCTGTGTTTTTTGGAGGACCCTTTTTGCTGAGCGGCTCATGTAGGGCAATGGGGCCTTATAGTTAGAATAGGGTTTTGGGGCCCATTATACTACGGGAGAGTCCTCTACAGGGCTGAAGGTGTAGCACACCCTAAACCCTGCACAAAGCGCAGACCTAAGTAATAGGGTTTAGGGTTTATGCCTTTAGGTTTCGACTCTCACTCTCGCACCGCACGAAGCAGGCAAGGCTCCGCAGGGTTCAGGGTTCAGGCTTAAACTCCTTCAACCCTGAAGGGGCAAACTCACCACCGGGTCTAGAAGCCTCAGGATTCAAAGGTGGGGCGCAGGATTTAAGCAGTCACCATCCCCCGTCCTGCGAAGTTTACACAAAGCTCGGACTGGCTTGGAGTTGCGCAATGGCCAGTGCAGCCTGTTGCCCCTGCTTTTGCTGCTAGCGTTTCATACCTGGAATTGCTCTTTCACTTCGTATGGACCACGCGATCCCAGCCGATGATTTTACGCAGTGGCCGTCAACAGCAGGTGTATCTGCCTCTGCGCCAGGCCTTGGATGATCTTCTACCTTGTCCTACAGGGGCTTTGGTCAAGACCCCCAGTTGCTGACTTGGCCTAGGGTTTATGGTGGTTTGTTAAGGTTTGGGGTTTAATTCCTGTGGCTTCGGATCATAGTGACGGCTATCACCGATACAAAAGTGCCCTCAACCATATTCGGAACGCGCCTTGTATGCACGCATTTTCTGGAAATTAGCACACCCCCTTGGAACATGAGCCCAAACGTGGGCGCTTCTTGACGGTCGTCAGGAAGTTCAAGCCTGATTTTCAGGCTTCACAATCTGACTGCGCAACATATGCTTTGCGAATAAGCGGGAATGTGGTAGCGAACGGCCACCCAAGCCTCTAACGCCCTAAATCCTTACCCATTCAGCTACCAAGAAGCCAAACTTCAAACTAAACCCAAAAATCCTGATGCGAAAAGAAAAGAGTCGACAGCAATTGTTTGGATTCTTTGTAGCCTCTCTTAGGCTCTTTCGGGTTTTGGGCCACACGAATATATGTAGGGTTTATAGGGTCGAAAAAAGCACGTCAACACATATCTGGAGGGGTTCATCTCACACGAAATGCAGCCTTCGGATCAAGCCCACAGCTGTAAAAGCCAGGGTTCCACAAACCGCAAACCCCCAAAAATCCTATGGAAACCTAAACCTTAAACCCGGCCCTAATCCCGGGGTCAGAACTCAGAGATTCACGCCACTGGAGTCCTTCTGGAAATGCAGAGGGAACCTGAATCGAAGAACTCCAATCATACTCTCAACGTTCGATTCCTGCACGAAGGCTACCCCCATTTCGCCTGCAACCCGAAGATAAAGGCTTCGTGACGATTGGTCCCACTGCGCTTTGCCTCTTTTCTCGCTGTGCTGGGCGCAAGGTCGTCCCGGCTCGCCTCAAGGGCCAGCGGCCACAGGGCACGTAGTGTTCCAGCTGCAGTGATTGACATGACAACTTCGAAAACAGAGTGGTCCGTCTTTTGGTAGAAACAGCGGCAATATGCGGGACCTACGGCCCAATCCCAGAGCCCGTCTTGTGGTGCTTAAGCTCAACTTCAATGGGCTTCGGAGCCCCGCAGCCAACGTCGCAAAGTCGCCGAGCATGGCACCAGGAAGATTGGGTGCTTCATGCCAGCTCACGCCGCTTCAATCGCAACTAGACACCAAGTAGATGAAACCCCTTTCTTGAACCCAGGCTCTACTGATCAGGTTAGATGAAACTATGAAACCCTAAACCTGATAAAGATATCCTGTCCACTGAAGCCCCCAACTTGAAATCCCAGCAGTCTATCTTCAGAAGCCACTCATGTGCACATCGGCGGCTCGAAATTCCCGTCAGAATGAGGCCGGGATGTCTCCGATACCTCGCCTAACATACTGGTAGGCCGACAGGAGTAGAGCGCCGCCTCATCATAATACATTACCCGGCTGCATTCGGAATTTGGCCTCGTCATTCACGAAATCTCGGACGTAGACCCATATCAATGAGGACTTCTTCGATGGCTCCGAGCCGCGACACGGGGCGAGGTTGACCGTGTTAGCCGCCAAGAACTTGTTTTGGTCATCCAACCTCCGAAGCATCACGGACGGCAGCTCATGTGTGTCTGGCGAACCAGCCTGGCACTGCTCATGCGCAAACTTCGCCACATCCATACGGATGCTGAGCCAATCCGATGGTCTGAGCATGGTCTGCAAGCATGGCATGCACGAGTGGATGTCGTTTGGTAGGTGCTTGTCTCGCTTGAACTTGGCATGTACTTGCAGCACGTCCTGCTGGTCCGTATACTAGCATCCACGAGCATCGTAAGTTCCCGCAGCTCGGGAACAGGATGTACCCTGCACAGCATCGAACTGCTCAGACTGTGTTTTGAGCAGCCGCCCTCCGACTCCGCAGCCGTGGACATGCGATCCTGAACGTCCTCTTCGGAGTACATGGAGAGCGCTTCTGGAATCGCTCCCAGGGTTGCATCCGGCTGCAGCCTCGTATCTGGATCTTCTGTAAACGCCAACAGGTAAAGGGGTCCTGCAGCATCCAAAAACCGTGGCACAAGAACATGGAAAATGTCCACGCCAACCCGCGAATAAGCACTTGGCAGCGAGACGCGTAAGCACGGCGGAATGCTATACGTCTTTTTCTCGTGTTCCTCACTGTTTTTCGGATTCTGGCTTGTACTGCATGACTTCCACACGAAATCCTCGAACTTTGTTGTTCCCTCATTGTCGAGCAGGTCGGTAATTAAACCTCATGCCTTTAAGATTGGTGGGGGTCGCCAGAACACGTCTCAAGCGAGTGTCATCCCCAACGATATTGAAACTATCATCCAGCAGCACATCCGCATCGCAAACACTTCGCAAGACTCGCTGGAAGCCTTCCAAAGATAGATGGGCGTCGGCCGACTGGAATGAAGCTTTGATGCAAGTTCGCGCCCACTCCTGGACCATAATTGCAACTCCGCATACCAAGGAGAGAATGACAGACTGACCACAGAGAAAGTGCCACAGAGGACCACGGCGCGTCCCCTCCAGTCCCAAGTAGCATGCAACTTCCACTGCACAGATCCAGGTCTGACATGGGATGAGAACCGGCGGGTCGTGAATGACAGCAGCCCCAAACACGCGGAAAGCCGCCGAGAAAACCGAGGGGAAGTTGTAGTCTGCTTCCTCTGAGAAGTGTGTGGTGACGACGAAGAAAGTGTGAGCAAAATGTGCGACCAGCGCAAGCAGCCGAAGCGTGTTGAAGGTGAGATGTGATCTCGCCAACCAACAGCAGCCGAGATAATGAAGCAAGACCGTCACAAACTGGACCATAGTGACAAACTCCGGCCTCTGCTGCACAAGGTACAAGAGAAACAGTAGTACGACGACCTGGAGGTGTGCCAGGTATCGTAGGGCTCCCTGGAAGTGTTCCATCATCATCTTCCGGAGGGCATCTTCCATACGCTGCTCATGCAAATCCGGTTTCTTGAGCCCTTTCTCAATCCAGCTCAACCAGCCCTTCAAATCCCAATCCGCGAAAGCGGCATGGGTAGATAGGACAACTATGCCGCATGCCATAGCTGCCGGAAGCGGAAGCATTGCCATCACGGCGAGCTCTGCAGCCATGCGGTAAACTGGGTTCTTGTTAAGGGATTTAATTTAAGTTACCAGAATAGGGATCTATAGTAAATAATATGGTTTCCTTATTATGGTAACTTAAATTAAACCCTAAACCCTAAACCCTAAACCCTAAACCCTAAACCCTAAACCCTAAACCCTAAATCCCGTAACAAGAACCCGGTAAAGCGAGTCGGGCTAGGGAGCCTCCATCTGTCTTCAAGCCCTTAAAGTCTCACAAGGCCACTCCCAAGCAAGAAAAAGGGGTGGTTGTCAAAATTAGGGTCCCTTTTTGGGTCCTTATTATTATGATTATTATTATTATTATAACACGACACCTATTATTTGGGGTACCCCAAAAGGGACCATAATTTTGACAACTGCCCAAAAAGGGGAAACCCCCAAACTTCCGCCCAGCAACGGCTTGGGGCCGATCCCAGGGCCTCCTCCATGGTGCCCAGAGATGAGATAGCGGATGGCACCTGCAGAGGGCTCATTCAGGGTTTAGGGTTTAGGGTTTAGGGTTTAGGGTTTAGGGTTTAGGGTTTAGGGGAGATAGCGGATGGCACCTGCAGAGGGCTCAGGGCATCTACAAAACGATGCCTTATAATGGTTAAAACAGGGTTTTGGGTTCCTTTCTAGTATAGGTATAGTAAGGAACACCAAGGAATCATGTTGGTGATTCTTGAAATGTTTATAGTACGGCAGTCTTCGGGGCTTGAAAGGGGCTCGGGGGTTTGGGTTTTAAGGGTATGGGAGGTTTAGAGTTTAGGATTCAGGGCTCAGGGTTTAGGATTTAGGGTTTAGGCATTTAGGGTTCCGGGTTTCAGGGTGTAGGGTTTATTAGGGTTCAGGCTCTCCCCTTGGAGCGTTAGGCTTAGGCCTTCGGGTTCTGGGTTTAGGGCTCCTGAAACCTTTAGCCGGAAGAAGCCGAGTGCCAACCGAGAGCCCTCCCGTCTGAAGCGCGAAGTGAAGCTTCCCACCTCGAAGCCCCATTCATGATACTAATAGTAATAATAATGATAAGAAGAAGAAGAAGAAGAGTAATATTAAAACATAATGAGTAGAATAATAATGATAATAACATTAACGATAGTAATAATAGCGATCATCATCATCACCATCATAATCAGAGTCCTAATCATAACAATAATAGTAACAATGGATCGTGATCTTTATGAAATTACCCTCATGCTGAAACCTGGAACCCTCAACCCCGAAACCCGAGTTGAATCCTAAGCCTGGAATCTTGAAAAAGAACTGTAACCCGCCAAACCCACCAAAGGAAACGGGTCTCTGGACTCCTACGCCCTCTGGAAATAAACAACCCTAAACCCCCCCCCCCCCTCCCCCCCCCCGAACCTCAAAAAACAAACATATATATCCCGGCCTGGAAGCTTCAACCCTCCTGAAACAAGCGAACACTCTGCCAAGAACCCGTCAATGCCTTGCTAAACCCTACACGACTGCCGACCCAGCCTTCCGGAACGGTGCGGATCATCTGCGTTCCATAGCAGCATTCCCGACCCATGCCAGAAACGAACATCTCCTAATGGTTAGGGCTTTAGGATTTTGGGGGTCAGGTCTTCAGGGCTTAAGGGTTCTTATGGGCGAGGACTGGGGATAGCAGCAATGTAGGGGCCTTCATGATTAGACTAGGGTTTTGGGGTATATAAGGAACCCATGGAAACAGTATAGGTGATGATTAAGGCCCTTTATCTTAGCAAGCCAGAAAAGGCTTGGGTTCTCTAGGCCGTAGGCCTTAGGCTCGTCTCAGGCATGCCACAACCCCGTTCGTCACGATGTGCTCCAGCATGTGGTCGTGGCCACTCAGATAATGTGCACCTTGGGGAAGCCAAGCTGACGAAGCCAAGTCAAAAGCCCAAGGGTCTGGCTTCGGATATTCGTAAGGGAGGTTTGTAAGACCCCTAAATCCCATCGTTTGAAACAGCCAGAGCGCAGTATAAAAAATCCCCCTTCCTTGACAACGAAACCTCCAGCACCTCAAAGGCTGGAAGCTGACTTCCGGACAACCCTGACAAGTCATCATCATCATCATCATCATCATCATGATGATCATCATCATCATCATCATCATCATCATCATCATGGTCGTCATGACCAGCATCATGAGCATGTTCGTCATGATCCTCCATCACCATTACCATCATCATCCATCACCATCATCATCATCTCGACCAAGCAGGGCGGCCGTTTGTACGGAGCAGCGGGAGGAGTTTGTCCACGAGCACGCGGGTGGTGCCGTCGGAACCTCCGGATTCTGGGTGATGTTGTCTGTGGCTCTGGGCCTCTTGGTTGTATAGCGACTTTATCGGCACTTTCGGGCCTGATATAGGGGCCTTAATGGATAGAAAAAGGCTTTGGGGAATATTATACTGTAGGTGTAGTAGGGCACCCCCAAAATAGTCTAGGTACTTATTAGTAACGCCCCTATACTAGGTTGTAACGACTTTTTATCGGCACTTTAGGGCTTAATGTTGGCAGGGCTGCCGGCCCTGAACCCTCAACCCAACACCCGAAAACCCTGCTGTAAAGCCCTGACGCCCTAAAGCCGAAAAGAGATCGGACCTGCAGCACCCTGCGGGTTCGGTGGGGGGTCGAAGCACTCGGGTTTTAGGGTTTAGGGGTTTAGGGTTTAGGGTTTAGGGTTTAGGGTTTAGGGTTTAGGGTTTAGGGAGTTTCTCTGTCGGTCAAACCCCTTCCCTTCCAGGGAGTTAGCGACGATTTGGGGCTTAGGGTTTCGGATATGAGGCCTACCGTTTCAGGTGGACTGAAGCTAAATAATTACCAGCTATTTTGGGGATTCCTGATTATAATTATAGTATAATGGGCCCCAAAACCTGATTCTAATTATAAAGGCGTCTATGTTTAAACAAAAAGCTTAAAACTGGAGCTCCAAGGCTCTGGGATGAGATGTTTCTAGATCCCCGTTCCAGCGTTACCAAGCCGGTCGAACAGGAGCGCGAATCCCGCCACACTGGCAGGATGCTAAACCCGAAACCCTAAACCCTAAACCCTAAACCCTATTGAAAATGGAGGCAAGTCCGACGGCCCGAACAGCCTTCTGGTGCAAACCCTGCAACCATAAGCCGCCAAATGCACATTCCCAAGAGCGCTCGACCCTAAACCCTAAACCCCAGCTTACACCTCAAAGTTTGCGAGTATGGCGACTCCTTCGCTTTTGTCGGTGTTATTATTAATGTCTCTGGGCTGCTACTACTATAACGGACTCTATAACGGGCTGTGGCTAGGGCTACTATAAGTGCCTCAAAAACGGATACTATCATACTAGAATGGAATGTCTGTAAGAATGCCCGAACTCCCCCTAAACCCTAAACCCTGAACCCTAAACCCTAAAGGTGCCTGCGCTGTAGATGGGATAGTGCCCGGCAACCCAGAGGAAGTCTGCCTTGCTTGAATTCCTCGGACTTCGCGTCACTTTCAGGTCGATGGGGCTTTGGGACGCGCGGTTCAGGGGCTAGGGTTTAGGGTTTGGGGTTTAGGGTTCAGGGTTCTTTTAGTCACCTGTTCTGGTCCTTAACAGAAAAAGCCTTCTAGAACCCTAATCGTCGACTTATAGTGACATGTCGGTACCCCGTCTGGTAACCCTGCCAGAATCCTTATCACCCTTACGGGGTGGGCCGTCATCCGACCCTATCCTATCCCCAACCCCCCCCCCCCAACCCCACAAGACTAAAACATCGTAGAGATTGGGGTTTGGAGTCCGCCACAACTTGAAGCAAGAGACTAATCATGGTATCAAAAACCAAAACCCTATTCTAAGTCTTCAGGCCCCTATATGAGCTCTAGTAGGCACAGAGCCCATTTGCAACAATGCCTTAGCACTGCAGCCCAGGATCAGCTTCGCTGCCAGCCACTGCCACTGCGAGTCCTCATTGAAGACACTGGCCAAAGAACCCAAAGCCCTGAGCTAGAACTTAATTTAAATCCAACACCCTGGAAAGACTCAAGGATGCCTGCATGAGGATTTTGTGTAGCTTTCGACGACCCGATCCCGCATCCCTTATCTACAAGACCCCGCTTGGAGGTTGACATTAGGGGGCAAACGCAGCAATTAGACTTCACCCTTAACCCCGAACACCTACGAACCCTCAACCTGAAACACCGAAAAACCTCACACCCTACGCCATGAACCAGCGAAAGCCTTATAAACTTAAACCCTTAAACTTAGCCGCAAATCCCAAGCCCCCAACCCTAAACCCGAACGGCTAGAGGCTTGCCGAAGAACCCTAAGCCCCCAAACCGCCCGCCAGGACACCGCGTGAGCCGCATTCGGTGGTCCGGGAAGATCGCAACCCAAGCAGCTGTCGTCGCTCGGCCCTGGGCAACTGGGATGATCAAGTTGCTACTACAGTTACATGAGCAGTGTTCCTACCGGTCTTGCTGCCGAAATGTACCAGGAGCTTCGTCCCTATCATTCTTGCTGAGGTTGATCCTCGACCCATCTCTGACCGTGCCAGCTGGTACTATGGCCTGATGCTCACCTTCGCCATCCAGACCCTGACTGGCACCATCATGCTCTTGTGGTTCTTCTTATTATTCATGACCATCATCATCATCATCATCGTCACTATCATCAACTTGATCCTGCTCACACTAGCTTTCTTTAACCATGATCCAGTTCAAGCAGTGTTCCCTGTTCGCAAGGAGGCATACACTCTAAACATCCTAAACCCTAAACCCTAAATCTCCTGCAATTCCCTAAACACCCTCGACGCCTGAAACCCTGACGGGTCCAAAACCCCAAAAGCCCGGACCCCCCACCCCCCCCCAAAAAAAAGAAAAAAAAGATCGACGAAACAAACCGTTCAAACCCGACCTGCTAAGAGCACCGTGTCCACCATCAGCAACTCCAGGGTCCTCGTCGCACCGTCCCCAGCCTGCACGAAGTTTAGGGTTTAATTAGGGTTTAGGGTTTA